AGAGAGAGAGAGAGAGAGAGAGAGAGAGAGAGAGAGAGAGAGAGGGTCATATATTATAATATCATTTGTTCTTCCTCTGATTATGGTAACATGTCGCGACACAATGTCAATCTTGTCGATGAGCATGCACATTTTCTTTGCGAAAAAAAACCCTTCTTTGAGAATATAAAAAATATAGAGCTCTCAGATTTAAATCTGAAATTTCTCTGTTCAGGCCGAAGGGCTAGAACCCCGATGGCCGCTGGATCGGAAAAATAAAGTTAAGTAAAGTAAATTTCTCTGCTTTCAGACTTTGGTCTATGACACTATCAATACCATTTAGATCTCTTAGCCTGAATCTGGCAGCTTCAATCAAGCTTAAAATGACCGACCTAGGTTAGGTAAAAATAGGTTCTAGATGATAAAAATTGAGAGACTCTAGAAAATACCATTTCCCTCAGTAAATTGGAATCACTTGCGATGATAGTCCACTACAAATGATTTCAGAGTGTATGACAGACAACATTATACTGACTTCATTGAATACAATTTTACGAGATAAAAAGAAGAGGAGACTAACCAATATATACATGTATTTGCAGATACTCATGACCTTCCATGTTAAGTTCACAGTTCTGAAGATGCTGTAGGTCTTGGAGATATGGCTAGTTTTATCATGACATTAGTCTCAATACTATGTGTTTTGTGATGTCATCACTCAAACGTTCCCTTTCGTCCACAGGCACCTGGGTTACCATGGAGACAGCTTGTCCACCCACCCGGAAATGCAAGACTCCAATTCTGACTTCGGTTAATGTCACAGGTCCAGACGGAAAAGCCATGGTCCTCATGAACCGGACTGGTCGGAGTGACTGGACATACTCCGCAGCGAGCAGTTACGATGTTTTGGCATCTGGCCAGGGGCTTACTGTTGAGGGTATGCAAATTAGTATGCTTGCATTTTATTTGTTTTTGAGGTTGCGTTTTTACATGGATTGTAAACCCACCTTCAAAATAACTGGCTGATGGAGTGGGGGGGGGGGGGGGGGTGTCTTCTTGTGTCTGTAAATTCACCTAGAATCAAAATCTCTGTTCCATACTTACAATTAATTCCAAATTTTGGTATCCGTGGTACAAAAAGAAATATGTTTAAAGGGTTGCAAACCCTACTTGTGTGTGAGAGGTCTCTTTGTGACCCTTTTGGGCAAAATACAAATTAACCAGAGTCCACAAATGAAACGTGTGAACTTGATGGGATCTTATCAAAGTTCAAGTACAGTTGGGGACTATTTGAGCTATTTAAAAAAAGATCTCAATACGGAATGCCACCATAATGAGCATTTCTTTTTCCACAATAAGAGTACACAGTTCATAATTACACATTCTCCTCTCTCTCTCTCTCTCTCTCTCTCTCTCTCTCTCTCTCTCTCTCTCTCTCTCTCTCTCTCTCTCTCTCTGCTACGAACACGCCCCTCACCCTCCCCAACCCCGTGAGTTTTTGTTGGAGGATGAGATAGGTACGTCCAGCGTCCTTACTTTTCCTCTTTTATTTCTTTCTGTCTATCTGTCTGCTTGTCATGCTTGTTCCCCACCAATAAATCACCATTATTGTTCGATGAACTTCTCTTTACTCGTGTGTGGTTTGCTCCTTCTTTCCTATCAAACATCTATCGTCCTGATCTCTCCTCCTTCTTTTTTAATATATTTGTTATTCTTTTGTAACACACCTCTAATCTTCGGCACGTATATGACCTTATTGTGTTGCAAGTGCCGTAACACTTTTTCTAAAACTAAAAATTCTCTTTACTGACACTCAAAAACTTAAACTAGC